AGTGTCATTTTTGATCACGATTGAGAAAGCGCGCTCAGCGCTGCCAAAACCGATGCTTGTATTCAGCATGTTGTATCTTCTCAAGGTCGATTCTAACGTCATTGTTTTGTTCCACATGAAGAAATGAAGGTCAAATGTGTCCGACGAATGGAAACAGACAAGTTTGTACACATATTTCACAGCTCTGATATTTGGCTTGCTTGTGAGTCACGTACTGAGTCAAGACATTTTTATGTCGGGTTTATGTTAAGTTTTGAAGTCGGTGAATAAGTAAAGACAGTACTGTGGTGAGCGGGGGGCGGAGGGCTTGTTTTAAACAAAGTTGTTGCAACATGCCCCAGCAGGAAGAGCAGTGTGGGAAACGCTCTTCTGCTTTGATCCTCGGCTGCTCCTCGCAGAAGGAGCCGGTATAATTATGCCGTAGGTCCTCCAGGATGGGTGGTATGGGGGATCTGCCCTCCTGTAAACACTAATGGTGAGCAACACGCAGGAAGTTGTTCAGGAAGCTGTTTGGTTACCTGGTTTCTCAATCTTTCCTCCTTGGTGTTGTGGTAAATAACCTCTTCTTGTTTTGAGACTGTGGTGGCCATGTGTACTCGGGTATATCTTGAGACCGTTTTGTTTATGGTAATGTTTAGGTAAAATGATAGATAGATAGATAGATAGGAAAACACCATATATAGAAAACTGAAATAAGTTGCTAAAACCCGCTGCCATGTGCTGCCAACATGTTTATATTTATATAGACAGCTCCCCATGAATCAAGCCACAAAAAAAAAAAAAAAATCCAGCTGTTTTTCTGTATTGGCAACAGCTGTTTGCTAATCTTTTAAAATCATCACAACTTCTAAATGTGTTCAAACATCTTTGTTATTCACACGTAGACCGCAAACTGATCAGAGGTTGTCTTAAACGAATAATATCCGAAAAATGAAAATTTGCTGAAAATGTACTCACCCTCAGGGCATCCAACATGTAGAGGAGATTGTTTCTTCATCAGATTTGGAGAAATGTATAGCATCACGTCACTTGCTCACCAATGGATCCTCTGCAGTGAATGGGTGCCGTCAGAATGAGAGTCCAAACAGCTGATAAAAACATCACAATAATCCACAAGTAATCCACACCACTCCAGTCCATCAGTTAATGTCTTGTGAAGCCAGCTTTTTATCAGCTGTTTGGACTCTCATTCTGACGGCACCCATTCACTGCAGA